CAAATGAAAACACAACACACTAAAGCTTAAGGACGCAACAAAAGGAGTCCTAAGAAAGAAGTTTATAGTGATGAACATCAACATTAAGAAAACAGAAAAACGTGAAATAAATGACCTCACTGTACACTCAGAACGAACTAAGCCCAAAGTTATAATGAAGGAAATAAAAAAGATCATAGTAGAAATAAATAAAGCAGAGACTATAAAGACAAGAGAAAATATCAATTAAATTAAGTCGTTTTTAAAAAAAAATAAATTGACAAACCTCTGGCTAGACAAGAGAGAGAAAATTCAAATAAATAAAATCAGAAATGAAAGGAGACATTACAACTGATACCACAGAAATACTAAAGATAATAAGAAACCATTAGGAACAATTACATGCCAAAAAATTAGACAACCTAGAAGAAATGGATGAATCCCTAGAAACATAAACCTACCAAGTCTAAATCATGAAGAAATAGAAAATCTGGAGCGATCACTCACTAGCAGAGAGAATCAATGATCAGTAATCAGAAACTATTGAACATTGTTCCTGAGGCCCTAGCACATGCAAAAAGACAAAACACGGAACGGAGAGAAGGAGACGGAGGGAGGGGTACAAGTCAGGGATGCATGTGACTGCAAGTATCAGAAACCCTAACTTCCAGTGGCTTAAGCAATGAGGAGTTCATCTGTCTCATAAGAAATCAGGAAGTAGGGCGCCTAGGGCTGGTGGTGCTGATACACAGGGTTGTAACGACTCTCTTTCTACTTTACTTTCTTTAGCATGCTTGATTTCACCCTCATGCTTGCCACCTCACAGTCCTAAGAGGACTCCCGCAGATTTGGGCATTAACTTACCATTCCAGGCAGGAAGACGCGGAAACAGCGGTTCCAATCTCTTCCCAGAAGCCCCTGGATGGACTTCACTTCACATCTCACTGGTCATGTGGCCACTGTTAGGTACAAGAAAGGCTGACAAAAATGAATGTCCAGGGATCAGACTGGGTTAGGACTAGGACTGGAGACATACTTGTAGTAAATACTTAGTATGATAAATTATGCTTGGTCCAAACCATTTATGAAATTCTGTTCTCTGTTGGATATTAAATATACTTAATAACTGGGACATACTTATACTAAAGTATACTTGTTTATCTGAAGTTTAAATTTAACTGTGTGCCCTTTTAAAAAAAAATGTTAGCTAAATCTGGAAACCCTGGGAGCTGGGGATCTTATTACCTTAAAAAAATTAGGGTTCTAAAATTAGCAAGGAAGAAAGGAGGATGGCTTTGGGTAGACATGTATCAATAACTACCACAGAAGCACACAAGTTTCTCCATAAAGACAAGATTTTTTTTTCCCCTGACATTGATACTGGCAAAATTTATCATACAGATTTTTTCCAGAAGGGAAACTGAGTCACAATACAGGCAGTGCCTTAGAATACAGGCACGTACTTCAAATGCACGTGCCCCATAAAATCCAAGGCTACATGAAATGATGAATTTAGTGCTAGAATTTCTGCAGGTAACTAAGAAAAACTTAAAAAAAAATTTTTTATAGATACCATTAACTGTAGATTATCCATGTGAATTTATCCTACCAAATTTCATTGAAATTTTCATGAATTCCCTTAAAAATCATGCCCACATCTCAGCTGCTATTTTGTTTCATCATGGGAATTTAACCATAAATCTCACTTGTCGGCAGGGAACTGAAAGTTTTAAAACGTGTACTCAGCTTGCAGATAACAGGAAAAACTGGGTGAATATATGAACTCACAGTAGCCTGGGTGTATGGTATGAACTGATCTTCAGAAGCTGGAGAGCCAAGTCCAAGTGGATAATGGGATAGGAGAGCACAGAAGTCAAGGCAAAAACTTGCAGGCTTCGAATGGAATCTCCACACACTACAGTCGTCCCTCATTCTCTGCGAGGGATTGGTTCCAGGACCCTCGGCGGATACCAAAATCCGCAGGTGCTCAAGTCCCTTATATAAAACGGTGACTTACAGTTGACCCTCTGTATCCTCGAGTCCCACATTTGCAGATTCAACCAACCGCGTATAGAAATTGGTTGAATCTGCGGATGCAGAACCCACGGCTGACTGAATAGCCAACTGCCAGGCTTGAGGAAGGTGGTGGGCGGTCTAACAGTCCAGGAGGATCACTGAAACCACAAAGGTGATGAAACTGGATTGGTCCGAGGCAACCAAGAACAACTGCCTTTTGTGGCGGTGACTTTTAGCGCTAAGACTTTGGCATTCCTGCTGCTTTGTAAGAGATGGCTGAAGATACTCCTCGTGGTCCACTTGAGGCAGCGTGAGAGATGTGAGTCCTCAAAGTGCAATTCTGAATTGTATACTAACATGCTGTCTTTGATGGATATCAGTCAATTTTTTCGAAGATTGTTGTTATAAAACTGATAGAAAAGGGGTGTGGACTAAGGAAGTGAGTTGAAAGAAGCCTCAGTTTTTTGACTCAATTAACTATTTAAATAAATTATTTGTTCTCGTTCTTGGAAAGAGTAGCGTAAGGATTTTTCCCTCCTGAGGATGTGGCATTTCAGCTGTTGTAAAAGGCAGTTGAGTTTGCTGCCAGGCAACAGGAGAGACGCGATTTCTCTTCCAGGCATCGTCTAGCATGTAAGCTTACCTCCCTGTGGACCAGATGTGTTCTCCAAAAGTTGTTGCTTATGGTTTAAATAATTTCAAAAATAATATTTACTTGTGTTTTTCATTTGTTTTTTTTAACCCTAAGCCGTTTAAATTCTTTAGAATCACGGTTTTAAATTACACGATAGAATAGTCCATTTTATATAGTTATATTTATTTACCTTTTAAATGAACTTGGGAATACAGCTATTTAAAGAAATGTTGGTGGGGAGAGTATAGCTCTGGTGGTACAGAGTGTACTTAGCATGTAGGAGGTCCTGGGTTCAATCCCCAGGACCTCCATTAAAATAAATAAATAAATCCAATTACCCCCCCCCAAGTTTTTTTTTTAAAGAAATCTTATAGGAGAACATTTTATAAGACAAAGATTACACACTAATGTTCTTGCTTTTAAAATTTGCCTTTTTGAGGCTATAAACTGTACGATTCCAACCAAACAACATGCCAGAAAAGGCACAGCTACAGAAACAATAAAAAGATCGTGGTTTCCAGGCGTTTGGGGAGAGGGAGGGAGGGAGGGATGAACAGATGGAGCACAAGGGATTTTTAGGGCAATGAAATTATTCTGTATGATATTATTAGTGGTGGCTACACGTCATTATGCATTTGTCAAAGTCCATAGAATGTACAGCATCAGGAGTGAAACCTAATGTAAACTGTGGACTTTGGTTGATAATAATGTGCCCATGTTGGTTCAAAAATAAAAAATAAAAATAAAAAGGAAAAAAATTTGCTTTTTCATATAGGAAGTTTGAATAAGGTGACCTAACCTTATATTCTGACAGAATTGTTGCCCTTCCAAGCTTTTTGCTTTCCTTTTGAAGTCAATGATCACAAACATTTCATTGAATTGATACAAGAATGACTGGCAGGGAACAGTGACTGGGTGACAGAGCCATCTAACTTTCAAGGTGCAAACCCAGTAGCATCACCAATGAATCAGCCTCTCTTTCTGGAAGAGGTAACATTGCACCACCTCCATCCACAGCCTCTCGCCAGAGACCACAGTTGATTCCAGTGGAAATGAAGAATCTCTCTCCCAAGAAACAGAGACCAAAGGTATTCACATTCCTAACTAATGAAAGAAATTTGTTCTGATTTACAATATATTCAGTGAGATCTTTGGTATTACGCACATAGAATATAGTTGTACCTTTCACATAGAAGTAAATACTATTTATTATTATTTATGCTGCTGGAATGCATTTGATTTTAAATGGGGAAGTAGTTATGCAAGTAAACTCTACCGTGACAATATCTGTAGGTTCCAAAAAATTCAGTCCGGTTGCATTATTTTGAGACGAACTAAATGGGTCAGTCTATACTGTGACCTGGTCAACGGCCCAGGTGTCCAGAATAAAAGACTTACTGTTTTAGATCCAAATTTGTGTCGCATAAGGTATGTTGTTGTGAGGTTTCCTTTATCTTTCAGCAGAGGATAAAAAAGCAAGCGCTCCAATTTTGCGTAGATCCTTAATGCGGAAGAGAAAGGAACCGTGCATTCTCTAGCATTAGGACCTCACGGTACAACATGCGCATCCTTACGGAGCGTCCCCTGGGTTAGAGGTGCTGTTCTTCAGTAGCTTGCTTGCTTATGTTTGTGAGCCACAGGCTTGTGATAATTGAAACTTTTCCCCATAAAAGGAGACAGCTGGCAGTGTTTTTTTTTCTGGGCTTACCCTGTGTGGTCATGTTTACAGCTGCTACCATTGGGAAAAAAAAAAAGGAATGAAAGAAAGAGAAATTGAAGAGTGGCACAGAAGTTAATCCTACTGTGTCTATATAGTAAACTGTTCCCTGTTCTTTCCAGACTTCATCTTTTAATGCTTACATCTTCCTCAGGATGTTTTCACGGTATTTGCGACACTGGTGGGCTGTCCCCCCGCTTAAGAGATTTCCAAGCTGTTTATGTGGCAACATGTCATGTGACACCCCGGTTGCCATGGCAAATATTTGTGTTTCATGAAAAACGTGGGTTTAAAAAAAAAAATCAATGTAAATGGGCAAGCCCCAAGACAGACAGGCCTTCAGGCTAGTGTTTGGCCGGCGCCATGACTGTTTCAAATTCAGCTGTTTAACAGGCTGCGCAAGGGCCAGGGGCTCATGTGCATAATGGGAACACACAGGGCACCTGTTCTGATTCTCACCCCGTTCAGTATCTCAGGCCCCACAGTTTTATAGATAACAGATCTGCAGATAATACAGACATGACTAGGTTTTATCCAGTAAGTGGTCTACCTCAAAAAAAAATTTTTTTTAAATAATGACATTTCCTGAGTGCCAACTGACCCTGCCTTTAATTTCGTCTCTATTGACTTCACAAAGCTTTCCCCTACTGCTAGAAGCAGAAATATTTAAAGACTTTCCCGAGGTCCCGAATGGGCACGTCTCTGAATTGACTCCTCAACGGTAAATGAAATAATCCATTTACTCTGCGAGAAGTGTCCTAGCAATGAAGTTAAAAGGCTAAGAGAAAAAACTGAGATATGCCCGGCCTCATGACAGAGGACGGTGCTGGGATCGGTCCCCACCGCCGGGCAGTGTGGTGCCCCACAGAGAAAGCCTTCCTTGTAAGTACTTCTCTGTGTGTCCCCTAGAAGTGAGACTTGGCATCTGATGATGGCTGATTTTAATATTTACTTTGTCAAACTCTTCAAAGCAAACAGGGCCTTTGGCAAGCAGAGCATCACTGTGTGGGGTAGGAAAGGTCTTTCTAATTATTAGCTCCTGCCTGCGTGGAAAGAGGGAATAGGCTGGCCCAGTGGGGGAAGCTGCGGGGGCGGGGGGGGACGGGGCGGAGGGAGACGCTGCCCCTTCTATTTGTTTTGTAAAACTGCCCGTGAGAGTTGTTTTGATTTAAACTGTGTCTCATTCTTCATTGCAGGGGAGAGGCAGAAAAGTCAAGAGGATATCATGATAGGAAGGTCTGTAATTTGTGTGACTAGTTGAAATTTGGGGTCTGTCACCTGATGTCCCTTCCTTTTGCTGCAGGGCAAAAGTATGCGAGGTGGGTTTGACAGCTGGAGATTACAAAAGTTGTTTCGCTCTCCTTTTATAAAAGAAATTGAATCATGTTTTCAGAAAACGAAACCAACATGGTTCATTTAGAGTGAAAACCCGTTTCCCCCCCCCCTCTGTTGGGACTGAATTGTTTCTCAGGCTTCAGTCCAAAAAATGTGATCTGGAACACTCGAATTTGGCTGAATCACGTAAGTCTTCAACCTCAATCCAAGACTTTCATCTTCTAAAAGTACACTTAAAACGAATAAAAGCTGCAAAACAACTTCAGTTGTCTTCCAGCGTGTGTGTGTGGGTGTGTGCGTGTGTGTTTATACACGTGTGCACACGCATACTGCATGTGATGGAACAGGTAAGGCTGTGGAATTTAGAGTTCAGCTGGCCAAAAGAAACAAGGTAACCAAAAAGTTGGAAAAATAAAATAGTCCTCACAATGGCAAGTACACCCCAGCAAGGAACATTCCATAGGGCCACGCATGGGTAATAAAAGTTCTGAGCATCCAACTAGTAAGAGAGCAAGAAAGAGCTGAATTCTCCTCTTACCAATAGACGAGCGTTGAGCAAATCACTTCAATTCTCTGTACCCCACTTTCCTTCTCTGAGAAATGGGGCTAATACCCCCTTTCTCTAGGGTGGCTGGGAGGGTTAGAGGAGTTAATGTGTGTGAAAGTGCTTTGGAACAATAAAGCGCTTGTTTCGTAACTCACTAGTCTTTTTTTTTTAATTGAAGTGTAGTCAGTTACAACGTGTCAGTTTCCGACGTCCAGCACGGTGTCCCAGTCATGCACACACATACATATATTCGTTTTCATATTCTTTTCCATTAAAGGTTAGTACAAGCTGTTGAATATAGTTCCCTGTGCTCTCTAGTCTCTTTTCAAGAGAGTCTTCTAGACCTCCCTCTCTCGGTGATCTTATCAGTAAGAATTTCAGAGGGAGTTTAGTCACCCCTTTCCAAGGAAAAAGAGCCACGTCTTGGGTCTCCTCATCGTCCTGCAGAGCTGGGCGTAGACAGGGCTGTCGTCACAGCAGTGACTGCACACCACTGTGCTGGACCTGGACAGAACGCTGCCCCAAGATGAACCAATCAATGCAATTCGATCCTCTAACCTCCCTTGACTTCTTGCTATGAGAAAATTGTGAGCTTGCTTCTACTTTGAAAAATAGGAGGCACTTTAAGAAAACGAAGGCAGTGTTTATCTGGACTTTTTCTAACAGCTGATGTTGACTGAGCATGTTCTTAGAACATGGCACTAAGCATGGCACATACCCACTGAATGCTCACAGCAGCCCCTGGACCTCCGTACCTTCATTGCCCCCAGGCCACACAGCTGGTGCGGAGGATCCAGAGTCTGGGCCCCTTCCACATACCAGGTCATGAGCTTTTCCACACGGGCTGGTTTTCCAAATTCTACTACTGCCACTACCAGCAGCTAACATGCATTGTGTGCTTACTCTGTGTCAGGCACTGTTCCTAGCACTTTCCTGGGGGCATCTCACTTCACAACCTCTCTATGCAGCAGGTACTATGGCTGTTCCCATTATACCGGGAGGTCCTAGATACAGAGAGGTGAAGGGCATCCAACTAGTAAGTGACAAGAGCCAAATCCAAAACTGAACTACAATGACTGCCAGAGTCCCAGATTAGACATTTGAAAATAATCTCAATCATTCTTCATGCAAATCTTTCTAAAAGATAGTCTATCTCTGCCTTCCTAATGTAATCTGAACATTTTCTCTATCCAATATCATATACGCATATGTACAGTTTCTGGTGTCTTTTTTTGGTTTGTTTCCTTCAATATCAGGATAGGAGTTGTCACCTCTGCTCTCATGTTTGCTTTTATTGGCTCTCAACTTAACAGCCTTCTAGATCATTTAACCAAGTACATTTGAGTGAATGACAAGTTTGAATCAATCAGGATCTGCATGAGGAGCCAAAGAATAAAATAACAAACCAGAGTGGAGTTGTGTTGATTTGCGGAGCCCAAAATACTGGAATATCACTCTTTGAGGCTCTCTCCCCTTGACTATCTTTACACCTGGTTTGTGCAGGCAGCTATTCCTCTACTGTGGTTTGTAAGTTGCTAGAAAGAGCTTCCTATCCAAAACAAAATTGAAAAGGAAAAAAAAAGATCCCTGGGCCTTTTTCAGGGTACATGAAGTGAAACTATTGGAGATGTTTGCCTTTGATCTGATGGCCTGACTAGCTCCAGGAGTTTGTGACACATGGATACTACTGGAGAGGTACCACTTTACATCAGAGTGAGGGAGGGTGTCAAAATTAGAAGCGCCCTGATGGGAGCTGAAGCCTCATGGGGGAAGTGACTTCCCAAGGCCACAGAGAAAGGTGGTGACAGCCTAGATCCCAGGTTTTCTTACTTCAGATCCATCACTTTTCCATCACACCATGGTTCTCTGGCATGTTCATAGGGATTCGTTTTACAGATTGCTTTCCAAGTAAGAAAAGATCAGCAGGTCAAGGCCAGGTTGACTCTGATGTAGGTGATGGCAAAAGGCAGGCTGAGAAGAAGAGCACAGCTTGGTTAAGGGCTATAGGGACGTTCTGGACAGTGAGGGCTGTGGGCATTGGTGGGATGGGGTAGGGAACAGCAACTAGCTGTGTGACCTTGGGTAAGTCACTTAACCTCTCTGAGCCTCAGTTTCCTCATCTATAGTAATAGCCACAGGGACTGGAGGAAAGGCAGTCAAAAATTCTTCGCATGTATTAACGATCTTCACAACAACTTTACAGAGACCTCTCATTTTTGTAGATGAAAAACATTTAGTTTCAGAAAGGATGTTGTCTTTGTCCGCTCAGGCTGCCATAACAAAATCCCACAGACTGGGTGGCTTAAATAGCAAACATCTATTTCTCACGATTCTGGAGGCTGCAAGTCCAAGGTCAGAATGCCAGTGTGGCTGGGTTCTGGTGAGAGCCCTGGTTTGCTGGTTCGCAAGTGGCTGCTTTCTTGCTGTATCTTCACGTAGCAAAGAAAGAGATCACACCTTTTTTGTCTCTTCTTACAATGGCACTAACCTCATCACGAGGGCTCCATTCCTCATGTCCTAATTACCTCTCAAAGGCCCCATCCCCAAATGCTGTCACCCTGGGGACTTGTGGAGACACCAGCATTCAGTCTATAGCAGGTGGGTAGTTGCCCGAGAGCACACAGCACACGGCAGCAGAGTATGGACTTGATCCCAGGTTAGCCAGACTTCAAGGCCAAGGCTCATTTCCCTGGATCCATAATATCCTATTTGAGTTAAAGGCGAGGCCGGTGACCTTCAAGATCCCTCGTGCTCTAAAATTCAGGCCTGTGGTTATGCTGAATCCCTGAGCCTTGATCCGATCAGCTACTTTCTCTGCATACTGTATGTATCTTTCAAACAAGGCTAGCAAACTGAGGTCTTGATGCCTGTTCCATACAAAGTTTAACACATTGTGGACCTTCAGAAATATTAAAAAAAACAGGCCAGACAAATGGCATGCCTGGTCTTCAGGGAGCAGTGACTTCTCCATCTCTGAGGATCACTCCATTCACACTCTGGACTAAGTCTAGAGCCACAATGGCAGGAGCAACTTGCTCTTTTCCACACAGTGGCAGATGGATACATCTGGGTGTTTGCAAAACTGAACTTACAGATTCGAAAGTGATTTAGTCTACCCTTCTAGGCAAGTCACTCTCTGAAGATGATATCCACATTTGATGATCCCAAATACTTGACCATTTACCACCAGGAGAACTTGTTTACATCCAATTTAGAGATCCTTGGCTACAGTTTAATCCTACATCCACATGCTCTCCACATGTTTGAAAAGAACATTTTTCATAAAGACATTCGGTTTAGATTTAGACATATGTCCTTTTTTCTGGAATTTTTCTTCGTGGCAGTTAAGGGTAAATTTCAGAAGCTAATACTGGGCCTGTGTTTTCGGCTTCATGTCTGTGACTTACTGACATATGTGATCATCACCCTGTCTTCCTGTTTTTTTGTTTTCGACTTAGAAGTTTCCCTAAATAATTGCTCCAGAAACTCTCAAAGGTGCCTAGTTAGTGATTATACTTTGCAAATGAAGACAGGCATTTCCCAGCTGGTTGACTCAAGTTAGAGCAGGAGGCTAATAATCAGGCCATGGCCACAGGTTTGGGCTCTGTGTGGGCCACGTGGCGAGAGCAGGCGTCTCACAAAGGTGTGGCCACATCCCAGAAAGGACCAGGTGAGAATGCAGGTGCCACAACAGAGAGCCATCCCCACCAGGAGGGAACAGTGTGGCGACTGAGTGTAACACTGCATTGGGAGTACAGCACATGGTGCACAAAAGAGAAGGGAGAGAGAGAGGGTGGGAGGAAGGGAGGGGGGAGGATGGGATGGGGAGGGGGGAGGGAAGAAGGAGGTGGGGAGGAAAGAAAAGAAGGGAGGGTAAAATGGGAGGGAAGGAAAGAAGGGAGGTAGGAAGGAAGAAAGAGACTGCAGGCAGGAAGAAAGGAAACAAATCATCGCGGACAAGTTCATGGAGATAAATAGTAAAGGAGGGCTAGCAGAAGGAACCAGGACCTGAGGTGTGGCGTGGCCTTCAATCAGGGCCCTTGTTCCTAGCAGGCTGCGAAGCAGTTTTGTCTTTACCTGCTCAATGGGTCTCACAATGCTGATGCACTGCTTTAATTTGGGAAGCCTTTCTCTTGAGAGACATGTCTTTTCTTGCTCTAAGTCTAAAGTGCTCCCAAGTGTGGCATTCTCCGTGACAGATGTACTACAGTTATGCTTTAGCTGACTCCAAAGCCATAGCTTTCCCGTGCCTGAGTGGTCTGTTTGATGTCCAAGAGCGTCTCCTTTGGGAGCAGGTCTTTACTGGAATATCATCCAAGCAGGTAGGGAGGTGTAACGCCTTTGTTCTCAGACAGCCACTGTTCACCGTGGTAACCCCACTCCCACTCCATGGCTACTCTTTCAAAAGGTCTTAAGTGTATTTGCTGATGTACGTAAATGCCTTAGACCTACCCCCTGGAAGGGCGCCATCCAAGAGAGACTTGAGTCCTCTCCTTTCTAAACTTCTCCCAAGGTTGCTCCATTTGCATAGATGGTCCTAATTCCACATGACTCTCTGTAAAGATAAGAAATTTCAAAACTCGTTTAATGTTAATGTTACCAAGGAGACCAGAGTCTTTGGCGAGCCTCCCGTTCACAGCTGTGCTTCGCATAGGAGTCTTAGGGTCTTGTTGACAGGACCAGTCACGTGACTGCAGGACCAGCCAGCTCCGTGCTTGTCCATCTGTGATTATTTTGCGTGTCTGTTTCTCACTGATGAAGCCCTGCCATTCTTCTCTGAATTCTAACCTTCCCACCGTCTCCTTCTCGAAGGAAGGCAGAAATGCAGCCAAGGGCCATTTCTGTTGAAACCTGTACCACTTGTCTTCTACAGCTTCTCCTGCCAGGGTTGAGGTCTGTGGAAGGAGGCACTGCTTCTGTAACTCCCTCCTGCCCGTCCAAGAAGAAGGAATTTGTTTCTATCTACCAAACAGTCGGCATTCTCTCTTGGAGCCTTGATTAGATCAGAAAGGGCTGGAGTCTTGGCGAGAAGGCTTTCTCCATCATTCATATGCCTATAACGACTCAAAAGTACGCAAAAGCTCACTGCTGTAAAAGTCTGCTTCTAACGTCCAAGGCAATCACCCCTTTCAGACTTAACACTTGGTTTTCAGTATTTTTACTTGAGATGACAGTCTAATTAATTATTCCACTGCCTGGAACCTAAGGAAAGAAAAAGAATTTGAAGATTTTTTTTGCTCGTGTTTGCTTATTATGCTTTTGTCGTAAATATATCTCTTGGCTTGCTTTTCTTTTAGATAGCTTTCGGCCTTGAATTTGTTAATTAGTATCAGCCAACATTTGTGTAGAAAAGACGAAGCATGAACAATCTAACATAGTAATCCTCAACACAGTGCTGCGCAATAATAGTTATTGAAGTATTAACTGGATTTTTTTTCCTTTGAGTTCTGTGAAAACTCTTCAAAATGCAGAGAGCAGTATAATCCTACATTTGGTAAGGATGGACTTATGTACCTGCAAACGTCGACATATTGAAGGCAATCTGTTCCTTAGATCCCTAAGCCAGAAGTAGCCAGCACAGTAAGTTGGTACCTGATTGACTGAGAGGGCAGGACCAGAAACATCTATGCCCCTCATTCCTCAGGGGCAGAGTGTCTATTTTTCTAGTGCCACAGATTTCAATAATGAAATGTAGTAGTTTTACCGTGGACAGTGAGACAACACAATTTCCTTTACCTTTCTTCTTTTTTTTTTTAAAGGTGGGTGTGTGTGATATATATTGCTGTTGTTATCCAAATCTCTTCTTATTTTGTTTATTTTTTTATTGAGTTATAGTCAGTTTACAATGTTGTGTCAATTTCTGGTGTGCAACACAATTCTTCAGTCATACAGGAATATACATATATTCACCCTTATATTCTTTTTCACCATGAGCTACTACAAGATATTGAATATAGTTCCCTGTGCTGTACAGTATAAACTTGTTTATCTATTTTATATATACCGGTCAGTATCTGCAAATCTCGAACTTCCTGTTTAACCTTTCCCACCCTGATTTTATTTTTTAAATAGCATTTATTCAGTTTTTTTCTCAAACAGATAAGTACAAAGAAGGGGAAAAGAAAAACGGCCCAGTCCTCCCATTCTCAGATAACCCCTCTTGACATTTAAAAATAAAAGTAGTATATTTTCATGACTTAAAAACAAAAGCTCAAGCAGTACAGATAGGAACAAAATGCAAAGCAAATGTTTCTTGGTTTTAGATTTCAAATCCTCCCTGCCTGGGGATAGCTTCAGATATGTCCCTAAGAAGACTCCAGATTTAAGAATGAAAGAACATGTCAAGCGAAGCCTTGAAATTGGGAAAGGGCGATAACACACAACAGAACGCTCTTTGCAAAACTCACTCCTGGATATTCAGGGAAGGTGGCAGAAGAACAAAATGCTAGATAGTGATGACCTGTTAGAAGGTCAGCATAGACAGGACAGCTTTAATGAGCTTGTCTGAAGTTCTCACTGAGGCTGCAAAGGAAGGCTTCATCCTGTTTTTCAGGATTGGTGGAAACTTACGAACAAGGAGGCAATGACATGTTTCCATCCACGCATGCGTGAATAGTAAATCACAGAGATTATGGGGTCGGCTGACCATATCATAGTGAACTAAATGCATACTTTTTTTATGATCAGTTTTCTTGAGCCATTTTATAACACTTGCACAAGAATGATAAAAAGCTTTGGGCGACCTCTAAGATATTCTTCTGGCAATGAGTGTTACCACGATATATACCAGCCAGACTTTCCTATTATCACACGTACGTATTAAATCAGAACTGGGAGCCACATCTTCCCACCGTCCAGTAATAAATGGTAACATAGTAGTGTATGACTTGACCACTCATTTACAGTAAATCACAATTCTGTTTCATCTCTGCCGACACTTTCCTTCCACAGACCTTGAAAACGACAACACCGTCTAAGTCTCCGCATTTGCCGTGGGAACATGACTTTTTTATTTATAATGGAGTTGTAGACAAGACAGCCCCTGACTTCGTAGCATTCAAGGAACATTTCAGTTTGTCTTGGGGAAGTATTTTCTCTCTATTGGAACACATCCAGAGGTTTCTCAGGGACTACGCGATACCAGAAGTCAAAATAAAAGGGAACAGTTTGGCAGCGCTCCTACCAGAGTTTGAGCTCAAGAATAAACTTAGCAGGCATGACCTCCTCTCGGTGTTAGAGAACCCGGTTCACATCCAGATGATGTTAAACCTGCCGGGGCAAAGGTACAAAGGCCAAGATGGAAAGACAGAGGCTGCCAGGAAGATCCAAGCCACGTGGAAATGCTACCGAGTCAGAAAACACTTCCTCCTTTACCGGCGGCAGAAGTGGGCTTCAGGAGTGATCGCCATCGCCTGGCTCTTACACTGCCACAAGGTCCGACTGAGGAAGCTCCTGAAGGAGTCACGTGAAAGACACCTGGAGAATTTCCGCATTCGAGCCAAGGTACGCAAGGCTGCCAGCTGTTAGGGCAGGCCTCTTTTTCTAAACATTTCCTGCTTGAGCGATTGCAATAAGTTGTCTCTCTATCTCCCCTTTCTCTCCCCAGCTCCCCCCCCCCCCGCCTCCTTTGCCTCCACGCCCCTCAGTGTGCAACGCACGGGCCCTACATTTGTCCTTACATCATATTTTAGCCCTAATCAGGAATCTGGCTTTTGCGCCTGCAAAATCTGTTGCAATTTTTCTATGGGAAAAAAAAGTCCCTTCACTTTGTCTATGGTAGTTCTGTCAGAAAATCAATGTTTTAACTGCATTACCTTTTCTCCCTATATATACCTTCTGGCACTTTAATTCCCCAGGAAAAAAAAAAAATCCTCTCTTGTCTACATTGCTGTCACCACTTTGTCAGAAAGTATTTAAGTTTGCAGACAGCCTTTTAATTAGTGCTCACAATTTCATTTATGTTTGCTTTCTCTTTTTTTCATTCATATTCTGTTAATTAAGTGAGCTGCCTCTAATCTTCCCCTGCCAGTAGCATCATGTAGCCACCTAATTAAATTAATTGGGGAAGATGTTTTAAGTATGTAATTAAATCAATTAATATAATTTATGCCTGGCTTAACTGTACAGTGGAAAAACAGCTGAAGTTTGACTAGATGAATCCACTACAGCTTCCTGTCACTGATCAATGCTCTTCTTGATTTTTAGCATCTGGCAGCCAACTGGAATCGCATCAGGACCTCCAGGAGGACTATTATCCATATCCCATCATTAGGTATAACACTTTTGCCTGCAAATCTATCAGCAACCTCTATTACCCACCACATTATGGCTCCTTGATTGAGTTCAAGGAAGGCCCCTTGTTTTATTCAAATTGGTCTCGGCAGGAAAATGTTCTCGACATGATGAGAGTAATAACACAGGGCCCTCGCACGAAACGGCGTTTAATTTGGGGATTAAGCAAATAAAGTCATTATGTGGGGGCTGCTATTCAGTGGAGAGGTGATTTGCTGTAATTCGCTTTCATCTGTATGAAATGAACTAAAAAGTTGTATTTTTTCCCCCCTTGAAATAACAGATAATGTTTTCAATCCTCTTTAATGATAGAACACAGGCTTGTGTGTGTTGTTGCTGTTACGCCAATAAGCCAGGATATTGCTTGTACACTGTTTTTAATCAAATGTGCAGTCAAAATGATAAGCTACATTCTCTGAAATTATTTAGTTCTAATTACGAGCAGATGGGATGCTTTATTTGCACCTAGGGCGCCTGAGCAAAAGGAAATGCTGTGTGAACAAGAATAATTAAGAAGTTGAATAGTGTTTTTTGCGCTTAAATAATCTGCAGTTTCATGTTAATTAGCACTAATGTAATTATTTAATTACATTTATGAATTGGGGAGCTTAAAAGCTGCTGTCTGCAACACGGTGGTAAGATAGGTATGCCAGAACCACGCTGGGAATTTCAGAAATGTGCACTGGAAGTTCTCGTAAAACGTGAGCTACTGGCAAAATGCGATTTGTCTGCATACTTGTTTTGTTTTGTTTTGCTTTTTACCTACTTAGTGTGTTAAATATCCTTGGTGAGGCCAGATTTCCCAAGCTGACTTGGGAGAGTTTTGACAAATAGCAAAACTCAGTGAATCTTCCTATTACATATTAGCTCTTCGTTAAGGCCTTTTAAGTAGAGCAACTCATTTAGTGATCTATTGTAACAGAATTCTGAATTGCAATTTATTTGTGCTCCTGTGTGAGCATACGTGTTTGAGTACTTACGTACAGTATAAACACTAACACATTTAAACAATAATATGAAAAGCAAAGAGAAATTTTTAATAAACTCATAGATATAATTAAGATTGTATGTTAAATTAATAAAATATTACCAGTAACAAAGTAGTGGAAATTTTCCTAGATTTTAAAGAACTTAACATCTAAGTACTTATAGAAAAGTTAAGGCACTTGAGTTGCATAGAGCCTTTAGGTTTGGTCTTTCTTATGACTCAGAAGAAATTAGTTCCTCCTTAGGGTGGAAGCGAGGTAAGACAGATCTGAAATTCATTCTAACTTAGGCTTTTGTTTTGGTGGGACTACTTTTGCACACAAGATTAGTTCACACACAGAAATTGCACTTGTAATTGATTGCAACCAGAGAGGCTAATTGCATACCCAATTAACTGACTGGAGTCCCTAGAATAAGGTGCAAAAGCCTTTTGCTTCTGCAACTAATTGTGGACCTGACCTGATAAGTGGGAGATTTGGCTTGCAGTCTCTATTTTACTAAGAACTAGAAATAGAAATAAGACCTCTACTTTGCAATGTTGACAAGCTGAAAGCTATTACAGACCCAATTTCCACAAACTTCTTCTCTCCCATACCTCCACTTCTGACTCTAAACCCCCAGGCAATCAGCCCTGCAGAGAAGTCTGATGGAAACAAGCCCCAAAGAGGTCAAATTATGAAAGTAATGGTTAGTAATATAAACTGAGTCATAAAAAATAACTTTAAATGAAGATGTCTTAAAATTCCAAAAGGGTTTACTGAATATAAATTAGGTAGAAAAATAACCTGGACAGAAAGTAGAATTAGAAAGCATTATTTTAAAACTGATATTAAAATTAGTTTTTTTCTTGATTACACATACTCAGTTTAAATATGCTACTTATCATAAATAAATACCTTACTTATTTAACAAATCTGAAGGTCTTCCCTATTGCAGGAATTTTGGTTGGTTAACAATATAATAACCCATTATAGACGAGTGAGAAAAGTTGCTAATCATGTATTTTCTAAGAGATAAAAATAAGCTCAGATATTTTTCTCAACCGAGTATTTAAAAAACCCAATTACACGTCTTCATAGGAGAATAATACTTGGGCTTGATCAAATGGTATTTGCTTCTACCATCTATGCTTCAGGTTATGAAATGACTTGTGGTTATCAAATTGGGCTTAAATACCATTAAACTGTCACGTGGTACCTATTCCACAGACATAACCATACCTGTTTTTTTTTAAATGATTATGGCGTACCTTTTTCTTATGTATCACTTCAGTTAGCCACAACATGGCTACTTTGTCTCCTGCACCAGAGAGTCGCCTACACAATTCATGAAAATTGAAGTGGATGAAAGTGAAGTAAAGTTTTTCTCTAAATACATGCTCCCCCCTCACCCTGCCCTCAATCGATTCAATATAGTAGTTTTGTTTCCAGAGTTGAGAGGGATTCACTAATTGAAATCAGTTGTTAGGAATGGAAGGTTCAGGTGCACATTTAATACAAGATGCAACCTTGTCCTCTTTTCATCTTTCCTAGGAAATGTGTGATCCATTCTGGTGTGGAATTAGCTCCACAAATAATTAATTACACTGTTCCACTAGACAATTGGGGCTGCACTAGGTTTATCTGAACCCTGAAAATGAAAGTTTAGTAGCTGAAAACTGCATAATATATTACAGTTGTAGGCATTTGGTTATTTGTGTATATGGTGTTGCACACATAGGAGTCATTGCATTCTCCAAACCCACCATCACAGAAAGGATGGCCTTTCGATACTGTTTTTGACCACAGACTATCACATATTTAAAAATCTATGGCTTAATGATATGAACACAAAGGCAATTATACATTGCAGAGTAACCGCCTCTTTGAAAGGAGAAATTATGAACACAATTGGCTCTTACATATTTTGGGAGGTATTCCCAGATGTAACAAAAAGTTTTCGCTAGTTTTAACCAATAGGGGAGGTAGGATGCTGTTGATTAATTGTCCAAAGGAACAGACTGGTCTTCTAATTTTATAAGATGATGATGAGAAAGTTATCCTTTCCAGATTATATAGGCTGATCTCCTAATTGGATACCGCATATTTTTAATCATTTTTATTAATGAAATATAATTATAACAAAATAATCTACTGTGGTTCATAGCAGGCATAGAATACGAGGGTCTATTTTAAGCAAAATCTATCATTCAAATAGGAAAGAACTGCCACAAAGAGTCCTAATTCCTCTAGAAAAATCAGAGGTCTGAATAAAACCTACAAACTAATTCTGCTTCCAGTTTCTTTAGCCAAGTTACTTCCTCCACTTTTAATTTAACCCCTGTGCTTCTTTATTACAGTGCATCATTTGCTGCTACACTTAAACTCAGTGGCATTTAAAAATATATTGTTAAATGAGACGTGAGTAGTATGGGGCTCTGATGCCGTGAGCAGGTATATGAGGCCCCTGCCAGCCAATTAAGCTCCCAGTGATGTTTCCCCTCACTTCTCTCCCTCTTATAAAATAAACATAGAGAATGTACTGAGGTGGGAGCTTCTCTTTTCTCTATGTGCTCTTTTATTTCATTGCCAATTGATTTAATGGCTAAAAAGAATGTATACAGTTCAGCTTCATTTTTTTTCTGTCTGTGAATTATTTCAGCAAATTATCCTCGGGGTAACATAATTGGTGGCCTCCAAGATAACACGTTCCATAAAACTGGGGATCTTGTTATTGTGAGGTTCATGAAAACGTTTTTCTGTTGCTCTGTGCTGTCACAAAAGCCTAAAAGACAGAAAAACTGACTTTTATGCCCAACTCCCATACCCCAGATGCTCCTGAGACAGTTACTTCCTTCCACCAGAAGGCAAGACCTGTGCTCACCTCCGTCTGTGAACAGGGAAGGGTGGAGGACCACAGCCCAGAGGCTTATTTCTGGAATCACATTTTTACTGTGCCTCCAAGCACATTGACACCTTTCTTCTCTCCGATTTTTGAGTTGACAACTCAAAGACAGGATAGACTCTTGCTTCCATCGGAGGGCAGGGAAATCAGAGCTTTCAGTCAGATCTTTGCAGTCTCCAGCACGTGTTTTGGCAAGTAGTGTGGAATCTTCAGCTGAGCTATGGTGTTGCCACGCTAGATCTTTGAAACAGATATACTGCCAAGATCTCCCAGACAGCAGTTACCAGAAAACCCAGATCTTTGGGGATCAGGAACAAAGTACACTTAAACTTTCAAATTTCTTTATAGCCCAAATTAAAATGAAAACATTTCTTTTCATCCATATTGTATTCATTCAAGTAATCCAAATCAACGCTCATTCACTGGTTAGATCAGGGTTGGCCCCATGACCCTGTAATATTAAATTACCCCATTGGACTTAAGCTAGCTGAGGTTGTACCATGAAAATACAAAAACGGCATGCAACTGGGTGTCAAGTGACACCAGCTCACGGGCTTTTGATGAAATGATTAATATTAGAATATGATCCCCCAAAAGCCTTGCTTATACTAAGATAAAATAAAATCTTGGTCATCTCCTTCATTCTCATAAAAAATATTAAAATTTTTGTTCAGCGGTTCTCAAATTTTTGCTTATAATATGACCATTGAGGACCCTAAAGACCATGGGTTTACATGAGTTATATCTGTATTTTGAGCACGTTAGAAACTAAAACTGAGAAACGTTAAAAAATATATTTATTTTAAGATAACAGTAGTAGGCGTTTTACCAATGTTAACCTAAAAGAGCCAAATTTTTATTTTTAAAAAAACTTTTATTTTCCCAAACAAACAAACAAACAAAACTTGATGAGAAGAGTGACACTGGTTGACAAGTTTGCAAATCTCTTAATAGAGAGTAGTTGGATTCCCATGTCTGTTTCTGCATTCAATCTGTTGCAATGTTGTTTTGGTTGAAGCATGAGAAGAAAGCCTGGCCTCACACAGATAAACATTCGGAAAAGGGAGGGATACTTTATACATTTTACAGCCTTTTCAGATAACTCTGTAT